GGAAGATGTTGACAGCACCCTATACAGAAGCATGATTGGAAGCCTTCTGTATCTAACTGCAAGCAGACCTGATATTATGTTTAGTGTTTGTGTGTGTGACAGGTATCAAGCTAATCCCAAAGTCACTTATCTTAAAGCTGTGAAGAGGATTATTAGGTATGTTGCAGGTACAGTAGACTTAGGTATTCAGTTTTTCAAAGACACTAATACTAATTTGATAGGTTTTAGTGAATCTGATTGGGCTAGGGATGTTAGTGACAGAAAAAGCACATTAGGTGCATGTTTCTTTTTGGGGAATAATCTGGTTTCATGGTTTAGTAGAAAACAAAATTGTGTATCACTTTCAACAGCTGAATCAAAATATGTAGCTGCTGGAGGATGTTGTGGTTAACTAATTTGGATGAAACAAATGTTGGGGGATTATGGGTTAACCAGTGACACCCTGACCATATATTGTGATAATCCAAGTGCTATTGATATTTCAAAAAATCCTGTTCAACACTCACGAACTAAACACATAGATATTAAACATCATTTTATTCGTGATAAAGTTGAGAAAAATATAGTGTGCTTAAAGTACATTCCTACAGAAGATCAACTGGCTGGCATTTTTACAAAGGCATTAGATTATGAGAGGTTTTCTAAACTCAGAAAATCTCTCGGGATGTGTACTCAATAAACATGTCCTGAAATATGTTGCAGCACCTCATCTAATATCTTAAGCTGCAACATAATTTACTGAAGCATAGCTTCTTTAAATAATGACTTCACTGTGATGGATTATTCTCTAAATAAGTAACTGGAAGTCTTTCACCTTGAAACGTGATCATGCTTCATGTAAACATTCAGAGAACAATTACATTCACATAAGTCAAACTCCTCTATTTTGATAGTCATATCTTAGTAACTGAGGAACCTTCAAACTGAACACTTGATCATGTTCCATGTGAATTGTTTGACTTGAAAATAAGAGTTAAAAAAAAATAATAATAATAATTATTAGATATATATATATATATAATAAAATATATGGCTGTTAGCCAATTTTTTCTCACACTATTAATCATTAATAGATGTGTTTTTTATTTTTGTGAATATTTCGTGAGTGATACTGTTATTATTTTTATTACTATTATTTTTATTGAATTATCACTATTTATATGGGTCATGGGGAACATGTGTTAGTCTTTTATCTTCCACTAAGTCCACTCCTTATTATGCCATGTGTCACGTTTTGTTTTAAACTGCCACATAGACCTTTATTCTCCTTAATCACACTTTCTCCAAGAAATACGCACACCACTTCTTCAACTTCTCCACTTCATTTTTTTTTCAGCAAAAATCAGGGCTTATAAATTTCGTGCTTCTTCTATCGAAAATTCACACTCAAAAATCAAAAGCACAAGAAGCAATTTTTCTTTATCTACTGTATCATGGCATCTCCTCCTAGAAATCCTCTTCCAGCCTTTGGTGATGTCCACAAGGATGCTGCAGCACCTGAACCAGCAGACCCTAATCTAGACGTCATCGTTCATCCTGTCAACCTTGAAGCTATGCCGATCAGCTTTATTGAGCCCAGAGACGAGCTGAATCCGATTGACCCAGACAACTTCGAGTACGTGGGTCCCTCTTCCACTGCAGGAAGGTTTCCAACTCGCCGGTCCAAGCGCATGAATCCCTTCCCAGATCTGAATACTGCTGGGTCACAACGCCGGAGGGGAGGAAACTCACTCAGAAGAGGAGGCAGAGGTGGAAGAAGAGACGACAGAGGTGGCCGTACTCCAGTTAGGCCAAACCCACCAAGAGGCCTTCATTTGGTTGATGAAGAAACGGATGATGAAGAAAGAGATCCTACCTTTGCAGAACCAGAAGCCCAAGCTCTCTCCTCAAGCTCCAGTGAGTCATCCTCCAACGACTCCACTCCACCAGCATCAACTCAGGGGGAGACATCTCAGCCTAACATGGCAGCAACAGCTTCTCAACACCCTATTTCTGAAGATGTTGCTGCACATGTTCCAGAAGATGCTACTGCACCCACTGTCTCAGCCAATGTTTCTCAGAGTGCTGCTGAGGATGCTGCTCCCTACCAGGATGAAGAAATGCCTGATTTTTCAGGGATGTCCTCTGCCGAGCATGTTGACATTCCCACTGTTGATGCTCAGGATTTCACTACCACTGAAGAAACACCCTCAGCCTCACATGCAGACCCTCTGGAAACTCTAGCAGAGGCAGCTGTTCAAGTGGATGCATCACCTCCTCAGGTTGAAGAAACAGAGAAATGTGATGACAGCTGGGAGGTTCCTCTTGCAACCTTCCGGAAAAATTTGCCATCCTCAGAGTCAGACAGTGACTCTTCTGAGGAATCCTCTCAGATGCAAGAAGATGTGCCCCACGTGTTGCATCACCTGAGCCAGCATACATCCCAGATGAACTTGAAGACTCTGAAGAAGAGGAATCCTCTGAAGAAGAAGAGCCAGACTTAGATGGGAAGAATCTGTCAACCCCTTTTGAGGTAAACAATGCCTTCAGTCCTACTTTTTATTTTGAATCTGATTCAAATTTGAGCCCTCAAATCATGAATTGCCAATTCATTGAGGAAAAGAAAATTTCCAAGGATGAGTTTGATAGACATAGTATCACTGCTTTTCTTGATCAAAGAAAAATCCTTAGTCTAGTTGAGGTTGCCTGTCCTTATGATCCTTCTGTTGTGAAGGAATGAATATGCCAATTTACAAAATTTTTTTAAAGAAAAATTCTCCACACTTTGGAAAAGTTTTTGTGCGAAATTCTATTTTCTCTTTTTCTCCCAAAATTATCAACTCTCATTTACAAACTCCTACTGTGATTGATGAGGATAATTATGGTGATTTTACTGAAGTTTGTAAAACTCTTTCTGGCAATCGTTTTAAATCCCTCTCTCATCTACTCAGTTCTGCTTTCTCAAAATTTGGGCCAAGATGAATCAGAACATCTTCACACTCCACTTGGCATGATAACTGTTTCTCAAAATTTTCTCAAAGCTCCTCATGTCCAAGATTTTCCCTGGAATGGAGATAATTTTCTCTAAACTGAATCAGATCAAAATAATCTTGGTACTGAAGGTGTTGCTCCTCATGTTGACAACACTCCTGACATCCTTATTTCTGTTTCTCGAGATTTTTTGTTAAAACAACTTACTCACTCCCTAGTTCAGATCACCTATCATCAGTGCATGGTGGAAATGCTTCAGAGAGCTCTTTCTGATCAAAAAAGGGGAGAACAAGCTGGTCATGAAGTTGAAGCAGGGTGAAGCTGAAGGAGCAGAGGAAAGTAGTGGAGCCAGTGCTAGTGATGAACATCAGCTGATACTGAGGAGACTTTGGATTGCACTATTTTGTTATTTGCTATATTGGTTATCATATTCAGGGGGAGTTCAAGCTATGACTCAGGGGGAGTTAAGCTAAAATTTAGTTTTGATCAGAAAGTTAAAAAGGGGGAGTTTGAAACACGTGGATTATTTCCACATTTTGTTTTAACTTTCTTATTTTCTAACTAAATTTTAATTATAGAATAAGTAGTGCTTAGTGGGTTAAGTATATGGCTTAGTGGGCCAAGTATATTACTTAGTGGACTAAGTAGTGTTTAGTGGGTTAAATTGTGGATATTATTCTAACTACTAAACTAACCCACTAACCCATGTTCTTGAGTGCTCTTGTAGTTGGTTTTCTTGCAGATCATGGGCTGAGGAGTGGAAGCTTGGAATGTCTATAAATACCGACTTCAAGACTCAAGGAAATTTGATCGATTCTACGAAATAAACACCGAGAGCTGAAAAGAATACATGAGTGTTTTAGTGTGTTTTTAGAATCGGTTGGTTGTACTCCTCATGAGTACAATCTTTACGTACTCCTCATGAGTACATTCTTTACGTACTCCTCATGAGTACATTCTTTACGTACTTCTCATAAGTTACATTCTTTGTAGTCTAGATTGTTTAGTATATATGTTTCTAGACTTGGTTGTAAGAATGATCAAGATAGTGATTCATTCATAAGAAAGAAGTTCTTTACGTACTCCTTACGAGTACATTCTTTGAAATCTAGAATTTTTAATATTTCTCTTTTTGTATCTAGATTTGATTGTAAGAATGATCATGAGAATGATTCATTCATAAGGAAGAAGTTTTCGCACCTCTTCTGTTTGTATTCTTGGAATACTGTTTTTAATATATTTTTCGTCCTGTAAGGACAAGTTCACAAGTCTTTACTTGTGAACATTTTTTTTAATCTGAGTACTGTCTTTTTATCTTTATATTTCCGCTGAATGTTTACTCATGTGTTATAACACTTCAGATAACATCTCTGTATTAAACGAATTCGGAACCATAAATTCTTTCACACATGTATATGATCATCATATAGAGAACAAAGAAATAATAATAATAATAATAACTCAAAAGCACAAACATTTCCACGCACTTAAAAGGCTCAGAAACAGTACATAAATCCCTACACCACGATGAGAAGCAGCCGAGTTGAGCCTAATATCCTTTTTCTTCACCTTGAGACCCGTTCCATCAACCTCCACATCAACACTGATGGAATTGAATAATCTAGATTCATTAATCAAGTTCAATGTATTGAAGGTTCTAGAATTCATGAATGTGGAAGAATACATGAATGTGTCTTTTGGTGAGATTCATGTATAATGCTATGGAGGAAGAATATTATTAATCATGTGTTCATGTATTTTTTTAGATAGATGCTAGGAAAATCCTATAAATAGTTTAGGTAGTTTTGCATTTGGAGCATGTCAAAAACAAGAAGTATTCTAGAGAGAATGAAAAGAGAGTTCTTGAGTGAGTTTATATATTTGTGTTGATTGAATGAGTAATATAATTTTATCTCCTCTCCACTACTTCTCCTCTCTATTTTAAGTTATTCCGCTGCGTGTTTTCGATCTATATAATTAAATCGATCCAACAAAGTGGCATCAGAGGCACGTCTTAATAGAAAAGATTGATGGCAACCACAAATGGAGCTTTCCCATTTCAAAAGCTTGCAAAAGAGAACTATGATCGATGGAGCATACAAATGAAAACTTTCCTTGGAGGACAAGACGTTTGGGAAGCCGTTGAAGAAGAATATGTTGAACCGGAGAATTTGGCTTCGTTAAGCGAAGCCCAAAAGAAGACATCCAAAGAAGCCAAGGTGCAAGATCAAAGAGCGCTATCCATCATCCAACTCGGTGTAGACGATAGTAACTTTGAGAAGATTTCTCAAGCTACAACGGCGAAGCAAGCGTGGGATATTCTTAACGATGCTTTCAAAGGCATTGATAAGGTGAAGAAGGTACAAATCCAATCACTTCGTGGAGAGTTCAAGTCTTTGAAGATGAAATACTCCGAAGATGTTTCCGACTACGTCTCAAGGGTGGTTTCGATCGTTAACCAACTTGAAAGAAATGGTGAAACAATATTGGAAGAGAGAAGAGTGGTTGAAAAAATATCCATTGATCCTAAGTTCGACTACATTGTCGTGGGAATTGAAGAGTCAAACGACGTTGAGAGTCTTAAAGTGAACGAGATATTGGGAAAGTTACAAGTCCATGAGGAGAAGATCAAGAGGCGAAACAAAGGGCCCGAAGTTGAACAAGCCCTTCAAGTAAAGACGAACCTTGCCGACCAACCAAAATATGATGGTCCTCGATTTCGAGGCAGAGGTAGAGGCCGTGGTCGTGGACGCGTCGTGGTCGTGGCAGAGGTCGTGAAGGACAATCCTCGTACAACAATGATGATACGAAGCAAGAGAATCGACCAACAAGAGGTCGTGGACGCGGAGGATTCAATCGGCATCAAGACAAGTATCGAAATGAGTCAAATGATGAAAAGACTCATTATGTTGAAACAACGGAAAAACAAGTTGCCGAGCTATCTCTAATGGCGTGTAAAGAATCGACGGGGGAGAAAGATTGCTCGTGGTACCTTGATTCGGGTGCGAGCAACCACATGTGCGGGAACAAACACATGTTCGTAGAGATGGATGAGTCTCTAACATGAAATATCTCATTTGGAGATATGTCGAAGATTACCATCAAAGGTAAAGGGAGAATACTCTTCAAATTGAAAAGTGGAGCACACCAATTCATCGAGAATGTTTACTGTGTGTCGGGAATGAAGACAAACATTCTAAGTATTGGCCAGCTGCTAGAGAAAGGATACGACATCCATATGAAGGGTCGTAACCTATACTTGAAGAATAGTCAAGGTACGTTGATAGCTACTATTACAATGACAAGCAATCAGATATTCTTATTGAATATCTATAACGATATGGCGAAGTGCTTAAAGGCGTGTTACGAGGATCCATCTTGGCTATGGCATTTGTGGCTAGGCCATATCAACTTTGGTGGACTAAAGATGATGTCCAAGAAAAAGGTGGTGAAGGGACTACCATCAATTGATCATCCCGATCAAATATGTCAAGGATGTATTGCCGGATTCGACTAAGTTTTCCAAATGAGTCTTTGTCAAGAGCAACACAACCATTGGAGTTGATCCATACGGATATATGCGGTCCGATTGAACCTACATAACTAGGGGAGAATCGTTATTTTCTGACTTTCATTGATGATTACAGTCGGAAAACATGGGTTTATTTTTTGACGCAAAAATCGGAGGCATTCTCAACCTTCAAAAGGTTCAAAGCTCTTGTCGAGAAGCAAAGTGGTTATCACATTAAGGCAGTGAAATCTGACCGTGGAGGCGAATTCACTTCAAGTGAGTTTAAAAAGTTTTGTGATGAGCACGGTATTCGTAGACCTCTCATCGTTGCATACTCACCCCAGCAAAACGGTGTTGCAGAGACGAAGAATCGATCCATTATGAACATGGTTCGATGCATGTTGAAGTCCAAACAATTGCCGAAGGAGTTTTGGGCAGAAGCCGTTGATAATGATGTTTATCTATCAAACCGGAGTTCGACGATGAGTGTTTTTGAGAAAACACCACAAGAGGCTTGGAGTGGATTCAACCCTAGCATAGCACATTTGAGAGTGTTTGGGAGTATTTCCCATATGCATGTTCTGGAACAACAACGAAAGAAACTTGATGACAAAAGCAAAACTATATTTTTGTAGGCTATAATCAAGCTGCGGAAGGATACAAGTTGTATGATCCTGTTGAGAAGAAGAATAAAATCAGTCGAGACGTTGTGTTCGACGAGAAGAGTTCATGGGATTGGAATGCTCAAGAAAAGGAGCATTACACATTCTACCCGTTTGAGGCAACAACTAAGGAAGTTGAAGAGGAGCCCGTAGATGAATTAACTCCACCATCATCACCTGCATCTTCTTCCGAGGGTGAAAGTTCGAGTAGTGAAGGACCTCGAAAGACAAGGTCTCCACATGAGGTTTATGATCAACTCAATCAGAATCCAAACTTATTCTGTTTGTTTGTTGATACGGAGCCTATCAACTTTGAGGAGGCATCGAAAAGCAAGAAGTGGAGAAAGGCCATGAATGAAGAGGTTGAAGCCATCAAGAAGAATGATACTTGGGAGCTCACTTCCTTACCGTCGGAGCATAAACCTATCGAAGTCAAATGGTTTTACAAGGTGAAAAGGAATTCCAAAGGGGAGGTGGAAAGATACAAGGTGAGGCTTGTTGTCAAAGGGTACAAGCAAAAGACGGGAATTGACTATGACGAAGTCTTTGCTCCCGTTGCCCGATTGGAGACCATTAGATTGCTAATCTCATTAGCAGCTCAAAAGAAGTGGAACATCTATCAAATGGATGTGAAATCAGCATTTCTAAATGGAGTGCTTGAAGAAGAGGTGAACGTTGACAAACCAGAAGGTTACTAAGTTCGTGGTCAAGAGAATAAAGTGCTAAAATTGAAAAAGGCACTTTATGGATTAAAGCAAGCACCAAGGGCGTGGACCAGCCGCATTGATCAATATTTTTTGGAAAATGGATTCAAAAAATGTCTACATGAGCATGCGCTATATATGAAGGTCGATAAAGGTGATATGCTAATTGTATGATTGTATGTTGATGATTTAATATTTACAGGGAAGAATGTGAAATTGTTTGATGAGTTCAAAAAAAAGATGGCCAAGGAGTTCTAGATGACAGACATTGGGTTGATGTCTTATTATCTTGGCATTGAAGTGAAGCAACAAGATGATGGCATTTTCATCTCACAAGAAGACTATGCAAAAGATGTGCTAAATAAATTCAAAATGGAGAAATGCAAGGAAATCAACACTCCAATTGACATTGGAGACAAATTGTCGAAGCACGTTGAAGGAGAGCCCGTTGATCCGACCTTATTCAAAAGGTTAGTTGGAAGTTTGAGGTATCTTACATGCACAAGACCCGATATTTTATTTGCACAAGATCCGATACATCTAAGAAACTACTAATTTTGGTATGTTCTACCCAACAAATGGAGATTTGAAGTTCTACCCAACAAATGGAGATTTGAAGCTAGCCGGATATAGTGACAACGATTGGGCCGGAGATCCCGATAATCGAAAGAGTACAAGTTGTTTTGTATTCTACTTTGGAGATTCAACATTCACTTGGGTATTAAAGAAGCAACCGATAGTTACTCTATCAACTTGCGAAGCTGAATATGTGGCAGCGACACATCGAGTGTATGTCATGCAATATGGCTAAGGAACTTACTAAAAGAGCTCAATTTTGTTCAAGAAGATTCGACACAAAGTTTTTGTCGATAACAAATCAGCGATTGCACTAGCGAAAAGTCCAGTGTTTCATGATCGAAGCAAACACATTGATACCCGATATCATTTCATCCGAGAGTACATTGCAAAGAAGGAAGTTCAAGTGAAGTTCGTGAAGTCCGAAGATCAAATTGCCGATATCTTCACGAAACCCCTCAAGAGAGAATCGTTCGAGATTCATGAATGTGTTTTTTGGAGAGATTCATGTATAATGCTATAGAGGAAGAATATTATTAATTATGTGTTCATGTATTTTTTTAGATACATGCTAGGAAAATCCTATAAATAGTTTATGTAGTTTTTCACTCAGAGCATGTCAAAAACAAGAAGGATTCTAGAGAGAATCAAAAGAGAGTTCTTGAATGAGTTTATATATTTGTGTTGATTGAGTGAGTAATATAATTTTATCTCCTCTCCACTACTCCTCCTCTCTATTTTAAGTTATTTCGCTGCGTGTTTTCGATCTATATTATTAAATCGATCCAACAAGCACCAATCCTCACACGCTTCTTCTTCGAATACCATACCCTTTCCCAAAACTTCAGCCGCGCGGCCAAGTCAACCCTAAAAACCACCGTTGACCCATTCGAAACCGCCTTCACAGCATCCTCCCACGGCATCCCGCGGCTCTCCACCACCTCCCGCCGGTAATCCACCTCCAACCTCGCTTGGTCAAAGCTCCAAACTACGTAATTCGCAACGGCGTTGTTTCGGCCGTACGAGAATGTAAGATTTACATCTCCGTAGCGTACGACGATGTGCTCGTCTTCGATGTTTACGAAGGCGAAATCGAAGAATAGACATGGGTTAATACTATTATTATTATTGTTTGAAGTAGTTGTGGGTGATTGGGGGAGATCGAGGGCGGGAACGTATAATTCTTTGATGTAGAAGCGCGGTCCTTGGGTTTGACCGAACGAGAAGGTGACGTTGACCCGATCTTCGTAGTTTATGCTGCGGTAGGTCAAAACGTTGTGGAAGGCGAGATCGTAGAACTCTTGAATGTAGCAACGTGGGCTTCTGGGATCGACTGTTAGAGAAATGAAAACTAGGATTGCTAAGGTTATCAGGTAGCATAAGCAGTCAACTAGCCTTGTCGGGAATTCATTCATCTTTGCCTTATTGGAGCTATTAGCTATAAGCATATATTTGTTGGGGGAAGAAGATATGTATTGATTGTTTGGGTATATTTGTAAAATTTCAATTTTATATATTTGATAGAGTAAATTGCAAAAACTTTCCCTCCATCCCAATTACTAAAAAAAGTCTCTTTGTAATCCCCAATTGCTAAAAACTTAACCGCGTGTGTCAAACTTTAAGGGAAATATCTACAAAAATGAAAGGGAAAATGAAAACATAAGGGAGTAATCTGCAAAAAAAAATACTTTGACGTTTGATATTGGCGATTAAATTTGACGGAAAAATTAACGAAAACTACCCCTATAAACCACGAGAGGGTTATGTGCTGATATTAAAAACATCAGTGAGTCATATGCAATAGCTTGTAAGCACGGGAGGTTAAGTGATGTTTACCTTTATATATCACAAGGACCTTTTTAGCAATTGAGGATTACACTAGGGCTGTGTTTGCAATTTACTCATATTTTATATATATGACAGAGCCAGTGTTGACACTCGACATTATTGTAATATTCGTAAATAATTAATTAATTGTTATGAATTCTATATTCTACAGTACACTAACTATATCAACGATATTTTTAAGTACCAAAAGTTACATTGACATTAATTAGTCGATTGTCTACGACAATTCATGTTTACACGTCTTTGAACATACACATATTACAAATATATATAATTCTAGTCCCGTAAAGGATAGTCGACTGGTTTATATCAGTTGACTCAGATTTGAATCCACTTGCCAACGGTCGCTAAGTAAACTTGTCACAGATGATTAGCCTATTGTAATTTACATTTCTAATATGGTTTGAAAGCTTGCAAGCTATTACACGAGAGTTTGGATGTACCCAGTGCACCTATGTATCTAATGTAATTTACATCTCTGATATTATTTACAAGCTATTATATGAGAGTGTCAGTGCACTTATATATTTGGTTGCGGATTCCATCGATTAAAAAAAAAAAACAAACCATAGGCCCGGAGGAAAATCTCAAATTTGTTGTTGGCATAAAAACAGCAAACAATTTCAATATTTTGTTGTCACATGTAT